GCGGACGCAGTTTGAACAACAATACACAAAGCTGACAGGCTTACTTTGGATGCCTTGTTTGCTTCACGTCCTGCTGAACGCGGACTGACAGGGGAGGTGTGTGCCGAAGAGGCGGGTCTAGAAATTGTAAGCGGGATAAAAATGTTGGGTTCAAAATATTTGACCTAATAGTGCGGAAGTGGTAAAACTAAGACAGTACCCGCTACTTTAAACAGACAATCCTGCGTTTGAATTCGCTCCTCTGACCGGCCATGAAAATCGCAATGCTACAATAGGCTAAAAAACGGTACACACTTGCCTTCCCAACCCAGTAAGATTCTCCGACCGTATGGGGGAGATCTGGGAGTTCCAGTCGGTATTTCGTCCCGTATATGAAGTCAATCAATGCTGAAGATCCGAAAAGCTCTGTACAACCGTTTCATCCTCTGCATTGCACATCCCGTGAGTCGCCCGCAACCTCATACCTAGTAGTTGAAGGCCAAATCGTTCGGCCACGAGAAGCTGATCAGTGTGATTAACTCGAAGCTAAGCAAGACAGAACATCAACCACCTTTCAAACCTAGAACTTTTTTCACGCCACATACTGACTGGCTCCTCGAGTGAGGACTTTCCAGCTGGAAAGTTCTGAGCTAATTACAAATTGCTGATAGTGTGAGGAAGTTTGGGAATTTACATCAAGACGATTCCCAGTAAGGATAAAGTATCTGTACAGTGCTTTTTCTCTTTTCGGCATAGATTGGTTTCATCTACGGAACGAAATCTCGATTGATTCTTCAATTCGATTATGGATATGGAATACGGATAGCAAGCAACCTAATGCACTTCAGTCGGTGAGACAGTGACGTGAACGTTCACAAAAAATGATACGAAAAGTGACAGTTCTAAACGAGAATCGGCAATGAGGTGATATCAGAAGACACCGAAAACAGCGTGCAAATCGGTAGGCGATGCAGAAGGGCATGAAAATTCGTGTAGCGAAGTGAAAGAGAAGTACCGGCGGGAAAAGTAGTATCTGAACAACCGCAGCGTTACCTGAGACGTCAGCTGCAACAGTGAAACTGTGCACAGGGTTATGGGTGAAAAGGAGCTTCAGCTATGGGGTGGAAAGCCTGGTGGCTACATAAACCGAAGCAGCGTAGTTAGACCCAATAATAACTTAAGTAATAACAGCCTAGACTTGGGCAAACTGGCAGTATCCCAGCCCTTGTGCTTCGTTCGGGTGTGATGGCAGCAGAGCACCGAAAGGGTGTTACAGCTGAACGACTATTGTCATTTAATGGTTGGCTTCATAAAAGCAATGAGGGAGTAGCCAAAGTTGTCGGAACGTGAGATTATGCTATGAAAAACGGACTGGCATTATTGGTTGCGAAGGCATCAGCAGGGCTACAAACGGTGTCTGGGAGAATTGTTTGGTTTCGTCGACCTCAGTTTCCCTTAAAATGCTATTTAAAAAGTTAACTTGTGTGGAGCGTATTAGGGAAGTTCTGCCTGTGGTAAAGTGGGTTGTCACCTCCGAGGACATATGATAAATGCAATTCCGCATGTAAAATTAGTTTGACGAATCGCCGTCCACCCCGTGCGCCGGTGAAAAGCTCCCGTAATTGTTCCGTCAGCAACATCAAGGGCATCAGCATTGTCACGACCAGGCGTACGACATTTACTTTCGTATCAAAAGATAAAGCGATAAAGCGTTCAGCTGTAGCACCCTTCCGGTGCCTAGCTGCCATGCCACCCGAAGGAAGCACGAGGGCTGGGATACTGCCAGGTTGCCCAAGCCTAGACAGGGGAAGTCGAGTGGCGGAGGTCGGATTCGAACCGCGGACCTTCAGGTTAGTAATCCGCGCTCTAACCACTTCGGCCATTACGACATTTACTTTCGTATCAAGTGACGGAGTGAACAAGGCACTCAATCACGTCCACTGCAGGGCAAGACTGACAATATGGATATTGGTGCGGGTCAGTCCATCAGTGCTCTTCGCTCAATTCAGGAGCTGACGTGAATTGCAGCTCCCACGTTGGTCCTCGGCTTACTGTTCCTTACTATGGTGTACCAAACAGCACGATAGCTTGAGACAGCCTTCTGACGAGACAAATAAGAATTGGTACGAATGTAGGTATAGAGCTATCCCAGAAGGTCCCACAAGGTCAAGCCAGAATCTTCGTGATGGGGTTAGAAACACCACCTACGAGTGCTCGATGCCGGCTGGGCCATACTTTGGACAGTGTCTGTGGCCGGTACTCGGCGCATTCATTCAAACAGCTTCAGGTTAGCATCAGCATCACTGTTGTTTAGGTGGCGACTCACCACACGTCAAGAGTTTCTCCAATGGAATGAAATTCAGAAAGCAAAGCAGATGCTGACACGCTTTTTGAGCAACAAGGGCGACAGGTGTTTGGAACCACAAGCTTGACTTCACTTGCCTCATGTGTCTGAGCACTATTGTTGTTATACTATCCGGGGGGATTTAAACCACTGATGGCGATGAATTCGATAGACAGGTTTGACAGGCTTGCAAATTATTGGTTGAATCTGTCAGGTTCAAGGATACAACATAACTGAGGTACTTCGCTACATGTCTGTTCTAGAGCCCGTTACCTTTCTGGGCACGCCCAGAACCGACTTGACACTGGTCTCGTGTAGCTGGCTGACTTCGAGCTTAACTGCTTGCTTAAGCTCTCCGACCCATATATATCGATGTAAAAGTTTAGACAATTAATCTCGTGTTGGTAATAATCTTGAGAAACGATACCACAAGCAAGAAGCAAAATCCGTGGTGAAGACTACATTACTCAGTCTTGTGATGTTATCTGTTGAACAGCCCTTAGTTTCGGTTTATGTGAAGTTTTCTGTGCATCAGCCCAATGGTCCTTCTTGAAGTATATTCGCGGACACAGGCCCCAAATGCGGTGATCACAGACTAGTGGAAAGCGGTTGTAAGCAGTGAAGATACTGATATTGTTAAAAACGTAGTCCAGTTGTACCGCTAATGGTGGGGGGAAAATCACGGTGTGGACCAAGCCCAAAGAAATCAGGTAAAAACAATGAGACCTTAATAAGTCACCAGCAAGTAAGCAAAAAGACCTATCCAAATAAACCATAATGGTTACGGAAAAGAAGTTAGCAAACTTAGTGTTCTGAAATTAGGGTATAAAGTGTAAAGACCGATAGTCAGTTAGTTAAAAAGTGGAGCCTGAATTTCAGCTTTAAGCAACTGATACTTCGTGGGATATTTGTAAAGGACATGTGTGGAACGATACCAATCTCTTTCCACAGGAGTTCCGAAACGACCTTCCCCGTTACGAAACAAAACAGAGCTCTCTGGCCGCATGGTACAATCGTCCACATCCGAGTGCAACTGTTTGAGGCAGTGCAACACAGTTATTTCCATACCGTTTCTGGAACAAAAGCTCAGTACGACACATCCTGGTAACGCACAGATATTACTGAGGATCAAGGCATGAATGTGACTCTGTCTGGACGTTTGCACCTAAGTACAATGATCAAACGGATATGGCGTTTCTCATTCCGTTCAACATGGGAACAAAAGGTACGACACATCCTGGTAACGCACAGATATTACTGAGGATCAAGGCATGAATGTGACTCTGTCTGGACGTTTGCACCTAACTAAGTAGATCAAACGGATATGGCGTTTCTCATTCCGTTCAACATGGTTCGGATATATGTACAACCATGAACTGCACATATATCCGAACCATGTTGAACGGAATGAGAAACGCCATATCCGTTTGATCATTGTACTTAGGTGCAAACGTCCAGACAGAGTCACATTCATGCCTTGATCCTCAGTAATATCTGTGCGTTACCAGGATGTGTCGTACTGAGCTTTTGTTCCAGAAACGGTATGGAAATAACTGTGTTGCACTGCCTCAAACAGTTGCACTCGGTTGGGACCACTGATAGAGCACATAAACTGCCACAACAGTTGAAGATACAGCCAGAGTGTTGTGAAGCAGCTTCCGTCTACCGTCATCACGGTGAATGAGAACCACAGGACGGAGAGGAGGACCGTAAGGATGACTAGGATTCTCAGTGATCACGGGCCGTATTCGACCGTTATTGCCCGTCATTTGACTCAAACCAGAAGACCCGTTAGGACTGTTTCCAACGCTTCCAAGGCATGTCGGTGATCCGTTGGACGAGCGGTATGGGTTTTTGTGACTACCATTCATGATTGACCTGAGACCACGGGGAAGCGAGGACAGCGAGGATGCCACCTGATATTTGCAACATGGATCCCACTGCCAAAAAAGCGCGTAAAAACTGGCAGCCACGGAACTCAGGCCACTGAAAAAAGTTGTGCTCATTCGTAGCAGTCGCGGAGTTAAAATGAGGAGGGCAGTTCCCGCATGAGTGTCGTTTAGCCACTGGGAATGAAGACTGGACGACGAAGAAAGGATGTGAAAGTGATGCGAATTCCAGAAAGCCGCGAAGCCTGCTGTGGCCAACGCAGAGAAACCTGCATGAGAGGAAGAACAATGAGAGCTAACGATAGCGTTCGAAAAGCCTTGTGTACTTAATTTCTAATGTACCCAGCCGACAGGAAGTAATAACAGCGTGCTTTTGACTATTGTTACATACCCTATCAGCCCAAAAGTTATCGAATGAAACCATCTGGATGCCAAGGGGAGCATGAATAAAAATGGGTATTTGTCATCAAAACGGAGTGTTTTGATTGGAATGGGGCAGCCGTTGTCCATGCGCCAAGACGTGGGCTGAGGACGAAGGGTGCAGATCGGGTTTGAATCTAGAACTAACCGTTAGGTGATCGGCTCAACTATAGCAACACGTACATATGTAGTGATTGATCTTATTTGTCTGTAAATGATACTTGCTGCTTGAAATCAAGTCTCAGCTGGCGAGCACCACGCGCTGTTTGTTGCCAGTACATTGGTATGATGACCGTTTCCCAGGTGATCCCTTGCCTCTCGTGTTTTGCACGGAATCATCCGGAGACATGAACAGACCAGGTCGGTGAGAACAAATAAACACATGGACTAGCGCCTAAAGTCAAGCTATCAACAGTGGGTGATCGATGATGTGTAATCCATTTTGTTGTTTATACTCACATCATCCTCGTGTGAAAGGTCCTTCTCCTATCCTGACACAAGTGCTGGTTAATTTACGCAGACAGGGGGATTACTTCACAGGGTCTTCGTTTTCATTATAGGTCAGTAGTAGCTAATATCTTTGGTCGTGCATAAATTTGAAGCTAGAGCATGTTACATGCGATAGGGCGTTAACGCTGCTTCTCCAGCGCATGCTGGGTGCAACTGAATTATCGCGCCAAGACAGGCGTGTTCACGTTTCCTTTCTCTCTCTCTATGGTGTTCGACAAACAGAATAAGTGCACAAAAGGAGGACTATCAACCAAGAGTGACGTAATTACCAATCTCACAGATAGTGTATTTTTGCCGGAAATCACACTAGGTTCCCAATTTAGTTATGCAACTGTCTTGACACGTATTTGGTGAGTCTCTCACCACATTCCAAACCACACCTCTTTCGATTTTCTGAGGCACGTGTCAAGCAGCTGAAATGAAGCATGCATAGTGATACATAATACTACGACTTGGACCGCAGATAATGGATTGCCTCAGTTTTACAGCAATAACTCAAGACAATAAATACATACTGATCACAGTAGGAATAGTCTGCAACATCGGAACGCCCTGGAAGAATGCTAGTTGTGTGGATGAATCAAAGTGTTGATCGACCAAAAGAATTCTACGAAAAACACTGCGCTTCAAGACCCTTGGTCCAATCGAAACAAGCACAGTAATTGATGAGACTTTAGCTTCCTAGGTACTGGCATGTGGTACATCTTTTACTGACTTATCTAAAAATAGAGAGTCAAGCATACTCAGTCTGAAGAGAAAAGGCAACAATAATTTGATGTGTTGAATGGAGCTTAAATACTAACGCAGTATTTCACCCAGAGAGTTCACTACATTGCTCTTGTTAGCGGCGACCTAGTAAACAGAACTTTGCAAAGCGAATATCCTAAAGCAAAGTAACCTCCCAATTTTGGCCTTATGTTCCTTTCGGTGGTATTATTGTAGAAAACGAGACAAATTCGTTGTGTCAGTCAAAAACGGTCAAGAAAGGAGAAGACTGTAGAGTATTTCAATGTCTACGATGGTTTTGTCATTTTCTCTTCAATTTTTTCATGTAACAAAAAACAGAATGTTACCAGTGATTTGTAATTTTTCACAATCAACAAGTCATTCACTCAGAAAATTCGTTTTTCGGTATGGCAGCATCACTAAAGGTCAAAAATAAACTCATAAAACACTGTAACTTGATTAGTCGCTTATATCCAAAAAAAAACTACTCTCGTCCTCTTTAGATCCGTCTCATAAATAGGCGGTTGTTAAATGCATATACTGAGGATTAGTCGTCTTAGACCTCGGAAAGTGTTCACGTTCTGCATAGGACGGCATCTTCAAGTGGTGCGCACTTCTGATAACATTTAGGAAAGATGAAACAGGCAGTGGCACTTCCCAGGTCTTAACATAGGTTAACTTGAGCGAACAAGGCAAGCTTTTAGTACGAAATCTTTGAATTCGAAAAAGTCTCAATATTATAAATATCGCTCATTTATTGCACACTATGTTGGCATGGTAATGACCCGCAAGTAAACCTGCGTCATGCGCACAACACCATTCTGTTAAGCTACAGTCCGGATTGAAGGCAATGGGATGTGAAAATAGGACGACGCAACGCCCGATAGCTCCTTAGTAATGGAGAGGTGTTCTCCAGTAATATGCAACCTACAGTTTGTACCCATGGATTTTAATTTGAAATATCTAAATTTCTAAGAAATTCCCTGGTACACCTGAGCACCATAAACATCATAGTAAATTGACTTGATGGGGTCTCACGCTGAAATGTCTTTAGATTTTTAAATGTAAACACCAAGTAAAATGGAGCAGAAGTCTCTGCAATCTAGGAAGACTTCAGAACCATCTACTGGAAAATGCATCACACTTTAAATCGCCTTCTGAAGAGTTGTCAAGGCCTTATGATGCGGTATAAGTCAACGTAGTTCCTATCCTCCCTCAGTATCATCATCTCAGTCTTTACTCAAATCCACCTATCGATCGTCAATAGGT